GTTGCTCAGTTTGTACTCTGCTCAGAGCCAGTCCTCGGGGGCCAGGCCTGAAAATAGCTGAGCTCCCATCTCACCATCAGTGAGAACTTGCCTGAGTCCAGACTGCATAAAATTCACCCGCCTGGGCAGGGATCGGCTCAAGGCTCACGCACCACGTAAGTCCCATTAAATTCTCTGGCCTTTGATCTGCTGATTTTATGGTACATGGTGGGGAGGGTTATCGGTGATTATTATGGGATGTCTGCTTCCTCATGCCATGGCACTGTGCCGTAGGTGGCTACCACCAGCATGGCCACGGAATGAGGTGGCCACCGTGGGCCTGGAACGCAGATGGGCAGAGCAGCTCCACTCCTGGGCACAGCTGTTGGAGGAATTTCCACAGCCAAGTTTTAATTCTGAAAGAAACAGCTCTTCAACGCCCCCGCCCCACCCTCAGTGTGAGACATTGGAAATCCCTTAACCTCCGTTTCCTCAGTTGTCAAACTGAGTTAATAACACTGACTTGCTTCCCAGAAGAGCAGAAACTGGGAGGGTTCACTGGCAAACTACCCAGAGAGCCTCAGTGGGGAGGAGCAACATGAATGCAAAGTATTGTTATTATCAGGTCATATTATGCCATTGGTTTTCAAGGCGAACTCCCCATGGATCTCAATGGCACAAAGTATTAGTACTGTCTGACTGACATCTCCATAGACAGCCCTCAGCTCCTCCAGGTTCAACTGAATGTGAAGGCAAGGCTTCCCCAGAGAGACTTCTGCAGAAACAGGAGGACAAACCACTAAAATCAAGCTGCAGCGGGGAGGTCAGAGGTGCTAAGAATGAAGGTGGGGCCACGATGAGTCACATTAACCGCTGCCCCAACAGGCAGCCCTGGAGGGACATTCCCATTGATTTCCTCGCGCTGCCTCTTCCATCTTGCAATGAATTGCAGCCTTGTATATTGCAGTTATCTATGCCCTCTCAGGCCTTCCTGCTGAGATCTCACCCTGAGATATAGATACAAAAATAGGAGCATTCACATTCCCTCAGCACTTAAGGGACTAACAGTCCCAGCAGAAGAGATGGCAGCCAGACAGGTTGGTCTCTTCTGGGATTCCCCCACCCCCATAGGCAACTTCCTCGTCAGCGACAGCAGCTCTGGGGTGACCAAGGGGACCAGGATCACACATGTCAGTGCTCTAGCTGGAAAAAGCCACTAGAGTTGAGCCTTGCATCTTGCAAAGTCAGGATCCTTTTACTCTGAACTCCCATGAGAGAAGAAGCCATGAATCAAAGCCTGACCACTCGGGTAAGCTAACCTAACCTCGGCCCATGCAATTGGCAGATCTCCTGCATCCTTCCGGCCAATGCCTTCTGCAGGGAGAGGGTCACCTCCATCACTTCCCTGGGGACTCTTTCCACTCTGCAACTGCCTTTCCTTCCAATTGCCCTCTCTCCTAGTAGCCAAGCCTGGAAAGGGGAAGTGAGCAAAGCCTGCCTGCAAACAGGAAGCTGCGCAGAGACTTAAGATAGGTGGGTGGGTGGGTGGGGGGAATATATTAAATAGGGAGCCTGCAAGTGCAGGGGAAGACGTGAAATAAGAGGGGGAAATTTGAAAGTTAGTGGGTGCTGGATCTGCGGTTTGGCCCATGACAGAGGGAAAGGCTCGGCCTCAGTGCAGACCCAGATAGGAATTTAATCTCCCCCAAAGATCTAGGGTGTTTAGACCTGGGGTGGGAGTGTTATTTTGGGACCATCTCCGAGGACAAATAACCTGGGATAAGGGTATCCTGATTTGTTACAACCTTCAGAAAGATTTGTCCTGGGGGCAGGTTCCAGGCTACAGAAGCTGGTCCCTCCACCCCCTGCCCCCAGCTCAGTGATGGAACCCACATGCAGGGCTAGGAAACACGGCCTAAGAGATATTCTGTGACATCTTCTCCCACCGTCCTTTCACTCCACCAGGAACCAGCCACTCGGCAGCTCTCAGAGAAAGCCTGGTTATCTTCCCCGATACACACCACTCTGTTTGTTTTCTAAAATCATTCCTTTCCAGAGCAGAGATAAGGCTGCACAGTGTCTGCACATGGCTGATTTATGTACTCAGCATCATGGCTCTATGGAGGGAATGTCTGTAATCCTAGCCGTGGAGCAAGGATATGAAACTCCGCTCTCAGAGCAGAATCTATGCGGCATGGGTGGAGTCAAATTGGTGTGGGTCAAACAAGCACCGACCCAAATCTTTACCCAGAACTTGACAGGAACCTTTTCTGAGACACCAAAAAGTCTGAAAAATTCTTTCTCCCATTGTCTTCCACCTTCGCAAATGTCTCTGTCCTTCCCGGCCTCGGTGTTGAACATGAATGGCATATTCATAGCTAAATAGACACTCAGCAGCATGGGGCCCGAGATAGATCAAATAGACTGGGCTGGAGCCCGAGACGGGAAGGATGTCCTTGTGCTTAAAGCTCTGGGCTGGGACTTAGGAGAGGTGAGCTCAATTCCTGGCTCTCCCATCAGCTCCTCTGATGAGTTATGTGATCTCTCTCTGTGCTCAGGTCCATGCCTAGAACCAGGGCATGGTAAGGCTTCGCCTATGCACAGGGGTGCTGGGCAGGGCTAAGCTACTGCAGTGATGGAAGCAATATAAGTGCCCTCTTTAGGGAGATATGGGTCCAAAGCTCACAGTGTTTGGTCCCTGGTGTTCAAGCAGCGAGCGGCTTGAGTTACAACGTTCATATGGAGTTCCAGGTCCAAAGTTTGGGGTGGGGGTCTGAGACAGACCCGTTTCTAGCTTGACAGCTGTAAATAGGGGCAGCGAGAGAGGAAAATAAGGATGTTCCCTTGAAGTCCTGCCCATTGTGGTAGAGGAGCTCAGGGGACCAAGTAGGAAAATGGCCAACATTTCCCTAACAAACTCCACCGGTCCCTCCTAAACAAGGGCAGCTGGGCTGTCACATGGGCCCTGCCTTCCAAACTGCTTGGTCCTGATGCTCCAGCAGGCAGGCAGTGGCTATTTCCCATCCAAGAAGTATCTGAACCGGTCGCTAATTAAACCCTGCAACTCCTGATTTCCTCCGCCAGGCTCAGCGCTCCACTCTGATTGGTGAGTATTCCACTCCGGCGCCCCGTGCAATGCCACGGTTCTCTGAGGCCGCTGTGCGGCCCCTGAAGAACACGTAGGAGATTAAAAGCAAAGGAATGAGAGCTGGGGAGCATTTCCTAACTGCTTCGATCACATTTGCCGGTCTGGGGGAGACAAAGAATTTAGGGAAGCCCGCTGCTTTATTGGGGGCACTCAGACCCATTGCCATCAGCGTTGTCTGTTTCAGTCCCTTGTCCAGTCGCATATTGCAGTAATTACCAATTCTGAGTATGAAAACGAGACCCGAACCACCTTACGGAGGTGATTCGTACCCCGCACAAGGATTATGAGACCCAACACTCTGGTGAATGATTTAAAGCATGAAATAGAAATTCTCCCATTGAAGAAACTGACTTTGATCGTTAGGATCATTAGAGAATCTCTGAAGCAGCTTCCAAAGATCTGTAAGGTCAGGGAATAAAAGAGTAAGGGGGGAAGGGCTGTGAATGAAAATTCCTCCAGGATCACACCTTTCACAGGAGCGGGCAGCTCTTTACAGCATCCTTCACTCAGCCCAGCAAACCCAGAGCGCGTTGCACTCTGGGGAGTGGCGAGAGGAGAGGCAAGTGCAATCAGACCGCCTGGGTCACACAGTTCACAAGAACAGACCTCCCTCTCCATAATTCCCTAAATTACTCAGGCGCGTGTGTGCTGCAGGGTCTGGCTTAGATATGGAGTCTGCGATTGCTTTCTGGACAACTTTGGATGTATTTCAAAGACTAGGGGTTTGCAGTGGTTTGATGGACCGTCACGCTGTGAGGGTCGCATGTTATTTAAACTCTGGTCCTTCAAGGCTGGCTGAGCCAAGGGAGTTTGAATGCCTGCCCAATTCTACTTCATTTTCCCACCTCGTCATCAGCAAATCGAAGGCTCCAATCCTCCCATTGGATCCACAAGGGACCACTCCCACAGACCCGATTGCTGGACTAGGGGCTAAGCATATTAGTTAGGCCGTGAGCTCTCAATCGGGGGGCTGTGACCCACGAGGGGTTGCAAACGGGTGTCGGGGGACACAGGCACCTCTGAGAGCTAGGTAAGTGGCAGGAAATCACACGGCCAAGGAGTAGAGAGCATGGTCCTATGGAAGGGAGGGCAGGGGAGAAGGGGGAACTGGCTGATGAGAGAGCAGAGAGCGATGGGAAGGAATAAGGCTCAAATGCACTGCAGTTAGTGGAGACTTTAGGGCCCCCTGAGTCTCTTAGGGCTGGTCTTCACTACCCGCCCGGATCGGCGGTAGAAAATCGATCTCTCGGGGATCGATTTATCGTGTCTCGTCGGGACATGATAATCAATCCCCGAATCGACACGCGTATTTCACCAGCCCAGGTAGGAGTAAACGCCGTCGATGGGGGAGCCGCGGCGGTCAATTTGCCGCCGTCCTCACAGCGGGGTAAGTCGGATCAGATACGTCGAATTCAGCTACACTATTCCCGTAGCTGAATTTGCGTATCTGAAATTAACACCCCCACCCCCACCCCCGTAGTGTAGACGTAGCCTTAGTTTCACACTGTTGAAATTATGGCTGCTTGTCTCTGCCCCCATCGCAAATGATCTAGGAGCCAGGAGAAATGCAGAGGGAAAGACTGAAGATAATGGAGCACTTTGGGCCAGCCAAATAAATAACAACTGCGCTGTGCACCAAGCCCTTTTGGTCTGAGCACCTCAAAGCGGGGGCGGGGGGGTGAGTCTCACCATCCCCTTCTACAGACGGGGAAACTGAGGTGCCAAGATCGGCCCAAACTCACACAGCAAGTCAGTGTCAGGCTCCAGGAGAGAGCCTGGGTTCGCCCCCAGAACAGGCCCACTCCTCTGACGAGCGCCAAGGAACATCACCCAACTCAAAGGCGCGTGCTGGTTAGGGGTGCTCAAGTTGTACCTGCTCGCTGGCTGGCCAGGTGCTCCCCTGCCTCCGTGCTGCGGCCGCTATGGGAGGAGAAGGACACCCCCTGCATTTTCGCTCTCGTTCGCATTCCAGCTGCTGTGCGTCTCTTCCCAAGGCCTCTTCACATCCCTCCCAGCACTCGGTCTCCTTCCCTGCACCTCTGCCAGAGAGCTGCTCCCCCTCTACTCCTGGGCCCAGAGACCCGAGGGGACTCCGATTAAGGCAGCTCCGGCTCTCCTCACCCAGCCTGGCTGCTCGACCGGCCCACACAACAGCTGGAGACCCACCCTTTCTTGGCCCCCTCGCAGGCTGACTCCAACTTGTAATTAGATGGCAACGGACTCATTCCTGAACTAGCAACCGGGCTGCGCGAACATCAACAATAAATGAACCAGGCAGCCCCGGAAAGCCCATCTCGCCCACAGAGGACCTGATTTACGAGGGAGGCACAAGAGCAGGACTCGCTCGATTTATCTAGGCAGAGCAGGTCCTGACGCTGCGCCCGGCTCTGATTTGGGAGGCTTTAAATCTCCATATGCTCCCTGCCCGGGAACACTTGCTAGCGAAGGGAGAACCAGCCAGCCCCACCCGTCTCCAAGTGCAGCCGAGAGCCAGCGGTCGCTGAGCACTTCTCGATCCTACCAACGCTCCCGTCTGCCAGCTGGAAAGACGTCGGGGTTGGGGTTGTTTTTAACGTCACTGCCAAGCTCACAGATGGAGCAAGTATTCCTCTCTCGGAGGAGCTTGCAAGCTGTGAGGAAATAGCCCTGTTGTTTAACCTCAAACATGGGTCAGATCGCAAGCGTGATAAACTCTGCCCTGCGCTGATACCGTGGGGTATGCCGCGGCTGCTACGTGTAACTCTCCCTCCCTGGAGACAGACTGCAGCGCTCAATGAGAGAAACTCCCAGGAGACTTAGGCAACTCAGGGAGGTGAATAATAATGCAGGCACCAATGTGAGCTCTGGCAGCTCACTCACGCAGGTGCCCGTAACACACACACACACACAATACGGATGGGAGATTTGGCTGTTGGTGCCAAATCTCACCGATGGCAGCGATGGCTTGTCCATCCCCACACTGCATCAGTCATTGCCGAAGGGGTAGACCCAGAAGGGACAGTCCCAGCCCCTGGGATCTGCGTTCTGGAACTGATTCATCCTGGAATATCCCAGCGTCCCTTGCGTTTGTCGTCTCTGTGCATTGTAACCGTTCAGGCCCCTACCGCTAGAAGCCTATGGACTTATTCTAAGGAAGGAGTAGGCCAATACATGAGAGTTAGACAGCCTCTCCCAGCTCTTCCTGCATTGCAAATCTTTGTCCAGATAGCAGGTCAGGGGTCTCCTCTCATTGCAGTACAGGCAGTACTGACGAAGATGCACCTAGACGGACTGGTAGATTCTGGGAACAGCATATATTGAAACGATTGCCCTGGGGTGAACCAGCAGGTGGGAGCAGGACACCAGGCGGGCAAAAGAAATATGCCCCAAAAGAGGTTTTAGACAAAGTGTTATGGTCGCAGAGCATTGGGAAACGGTGGCTAGCAATCAAACCAACTGACAACACTCTGTAGACAATGGAGAGCCAGCGTTCGGGAATAACCATTGGTGTGACCGCGTAACAAAGCCAGTACATGCATCTATGAGACTGCGATGCTTTCCATGCATTGCGCCGTCTCCGTTTCTAAAAATGGGGTGGCCATTTTGCTCTCAGAGAGGTTGCCTGCTACAGAGGTGACTTTTACACGCCGTGCTCTCTCTTGGAGTGAGGAGTGCCGGGAGAGGGAGGGGTCCATTTAGGATGAAAATAGCATGCTCATGGTTACTATGGTTACATGGACTTCTTGTTTCAGACAGAGCCCAGCATGGCACAGACAGAGAAATTAAAAAAAATACTGGGCAGAGCTGGGCCAGAACCAAACCTTTGGGTCTGAGCATCCCTTGGCCTTTGGAGGGGCCCAATCTGGATCCTAACTTTACAGCTCAGGACCCTCTTGAAGTGGGCTGAAGCGTTCCAGGCCTTTAAAAAGTACTGAGTCCGGTTCAGTCCCAGAAATGGATAAAATGTGCAGAGCTGGTTCCTGGCCCCCACAGTGAGAGCGGTCCCACATTTCACACACATGTCAGTCTGAAAAGGTGTAATGAGAAGACTCTCCAGGGGCTTTCCAACGCTTGGGAAGTATCATTGTCTCTGTGACGTCACACCCCAGAGTCGTTATGGAAATATGGTTATAATAGGAACATGGTATAACTAAGATGTACTTTCTGCAAGATGGGTCTTGTAAGATATCATTGGAAAGGTTATAATTTACTGAATGCGATTATCCAATTTGTATGCATGTATCATTTCTGTATCTGAAGCTGGGAATATTGACCATGTCTCTGTATTTCAAATGGGCTACGTTGGATAAGGCCAGACAATGTTAATGGCTTATTAAGAAATGCGCACAAGCACAAGGATTACCCCAGGAACCGTGAGCAATAGAAACCTCTCAGAGATAGCTCCAGACAATGGGAACTGGTTGACACGGGTCACAGCAAAAAAGCTTTCCAGCAAGTGTGTGTGTGGGGGGGGGAGATATAAAAGAGGGACAATGACAACACGAGGGGACCTCACTCTCCCTACAACACACCTGAAATCACCTGAGGAACAAAGGCTGAACTCTGGGAAGCGATGGTCCCAGGCTAAGATCTTTAGCTTGTGTAAGAAAACCTGGGAAAGCCCAGGCAACTTGTGCCTTAAGAATCTGCCAGCCTGTTTATCACTCAGGGTGAGAATTGGTTAATTTGTATCCTGCCTATCTAGCGTGGTAAGATCAGTCTGTGGCTTTTGTTTATCTACTAAGGTAATCTGCTTTGTCTGTTTGCTATCCCTTGAACCACTGAAAATTCACCTTTTGTAGTTAATAAACTTATTTCTTGTTTATAATAACACCCAGTTTATGTAATTTCTAACTGGGGGGAGGGGGAAGTCGTGCACAGCTCTCTTCACATTGAGAAAGAGGGTAGATTTTTATGAGCTTGTGCTGTGCAGATTTTTCTCTGCAGTGCAAGCCAGTGTTAGTCTGGGTTTCTCTCTCAAAAGGAGGGGTGTGCATGTGAGTGCTGGGGGAGCCCTCTCACACAGAGCTCACTTCAGTCTGTGTCTGCAGCGGGGTGTGGCCCTAATTCAGCAAAGCAGGGAGAGGGAACCTTGGCTGGTGGAGCAAGAGAGGCTCAGTGAAATCCCCAGTACATCAGGTGGCACCCAGAAGGGGGATCCAACCCGTCACAGTCTCCATCTCACAGAGAGAGAAACAGAAGCACAGTGTTTAAGTGATTTGCCTAACACCACACAGTGAACTAGCCCAGCACCCTAACCTCTGAACCACGCTGCCTTTAGTTCGATAGCTTCTCCCATCCTGATGTGCATAGGCAGCTGTTCTCTGGGTGTTCCCTTAGTTACAACTCTTGCCAAGCCTGGGGGCCTAGGATTCCCACTTGCCTTAGGAAAGACAGTCCTTTCAAATGCCTGCTATCATCTCCCTAGCGTAGCCTCACCGACATGAATGCAGATGTCTCTGTAGCTCACTCTGCATGTCCAAAGGGGACGTTTCTGGTGGGTCAAATCCGGAGCTCTTTGGTCAGCTTGTACTAAGTCTCTTACTTGGGCAAACTGCGTAAAGAACCTTGGATTTGGTCTATTGACTTCAGTGCAAATTAAGGTGCGGAGCATTTCGGCTCATTAAAAATAACCATTTAATGGAGGCATAATTCTGTTTTCTTGCTTCCATTCCCCTCATATTCATTTGACAGATTTAATTTTAAAGAAGGGGAAATTCTTGGGAGGCTGGGGGGAAAAGCAGCAATTTATGCTTATGCGTCTGTCTGCCCTGTGCTGAAAGGCCAAGAGACTAAGGCTGTTTCTGAAATAATAAAAGTTCTTTTTTTTTATCATTTTTCTTCTTTTCTATACTGGTTGCTATTAATTTGAGGCTCTCCTGGCATTCTGCAGCCTATAAAAAGGCCAGTAAAATGCTCTTTTTTCTCCACAAAATTGAGCACTTCCAAGATGCTGCTTTTCATAGAAGAATCATAGATTAGGGTTGGAAGAGACCTCAGGAGATCATCTAGTGCAACCCCCTGCTCCAAGCAGGACCAACCCCCAACTAAATCATCCCAGCCAGGGCTTTGTCAAGCCTGACCTTAAAAACCTCCAAGGATGGAGATCCCACCACCTCCCTAGAGGTTGTGAAAGGGGAATTTGGGCCTGGGAGACCAAATACCCAGACGGGGGGAAGCTGGAGAGTGGACCAGGATGAATTAAAAATAAAGCCCAGCTGCGTAAGAGCAGGGCCTGTCTCCAGCAAGAGCTGGGTGAGCTCAGTTAGGGAGAGGAGACCAGGTGGGAAGTGCCGTGTCTCTAGGAACCTGAACCAGCTGGAGCCTGCCGGAAACCTCGAGGAAAGGGAGGAGTGTGCCAGCCCCTGGAGCGGGGACTGATTGGACCAGGGAGCAGCAATAGCAACAGATTGACGCCCATGCCGAGGTGGCAGCCTGATGAGCCCAGCAGGCCGGAAGGGTTGGATACATTTGTGCTGGACTTGGCTAAAGGGCTCTGTGACCCTGGAAGGGGCAGGACGCTGTAAGGAGGGACAGGGCGCTGCTACATCTGGAATAGGCTAAAATAAGGTGGGGGAAACTGAGGCAAAAGGCGCTGCAATGCTACAGCCAGTCAGGAGGGGGCAGGTTAGGGTGGCTACTTTGCCACAGGCCCTGATTCCGCAAGGTACTTCAGCACGTGCCTAACGTTAAGTTGCACCACCAAAGTCAATAAGATGAGGCAACTGATGCATTTAGAGAGCTCGGTCCTGCTCCTATTAAAGTCAATGACAAAACTCCCGTTGGCTGCCAGGGTGCAGGATCAGGGCCATGCTTAAGGGCCTTGGGAACCTGGGCCTTCCTGCTGTTGTTAGTTCTGCAGCACCTGTGGCTGCGTTAGGAAACAGCAGAAACAAACAACTCCTGCCAGGGCCATTAGGCCATGCTGAGCGGGCCAAGTGAGGAGGCCCTGGAGAGCTTGCAGAAAAACAACAACAACCCTTGATCCTGATCTGAAAATCTTAAACCAAAAAGGTCTGGGTAAGCCAGCCAATTTTTAAGAGCTTATCCAAACCAAACCTCACTTGTTCATTTCCCCTTTCAAAACCCTTTGAGCCCTACCAAGCTCTCTGGGTCTCTCACTGGTTTCTGACGCTGCACCACCCACTGACAACCTTCTAGATCAGGAGCTCAGAGAGCCTGGGTCACCGGCGTGGTTCCGTAACGTCTGGAATCGCGGCTCACCGAGACCCCTGCCCAGCTGTTGTGCCGTTCTCCCACGCTGACATGCTCCGGGCGCA